AATGTTATCATTCTTATATTTCTACTATTGATGAATCAATTCATTCTGATTCTAAACTATTTTGGAATCATCTTAATTCCTTGAATAAAAGCCATGGAATTCCTGATGTAATGCAGTTCAATGGCGTGACAGCTGAATCAAGCGTGGACATAGCTAACTTGTTTGCTAGTCATTTCTCCAGTGTGTACAGCACTGGAAAGATAGACGTTGAGCCTGGCTTTGCAGCGAAAAACACGGTTGACGTCCCGTTCATTCAGTTTGATCTTTCTGAGGTTTTTGAATCTATCATTGGTCTTAAAGATAAGCTTAGCTGTGGCCCTGATTATATTCCTACATATTTTTTGAAAAGATGTGTATTTAGTTTGTCTAAACCTCTACAAATCTTATTCAATCTGTCTCTGAAATTACAGACCTTCCCTGGTAAATGGCGTGACAGCTTTATAACTCCCGTATACAAAAACGGCGAGAGAGATAATATGAAGAATTATAGGCCAGTAGTTATGCTATCCGCTATCCCTAAGCTTTTCGAGTCAATCTTGAACAAACACCTGGCATGGCACTGCAGGGATCTTTTAATAGACCAACAGCACGGGTTTAGACAGGGCAAGTCTACCTCTACTAATCTTGTTCTGTATCACAACTACATTGTCGGGGCTTTCGAGGGTGGTTACCAGGTCGATTCCATCTATACCGACTTCTCGAAGGCCTTTGACACGGTCAACCACGCATTGCTCATTCGTAAGCTAAGTTTGTACGGGTTTCCTGAGTGGTTGCTTTCCTGGTTGAGTAGTTACCTGAGGGATAGGGTTCAATTTGTGAATATCAAGGGTTCGACTTCGTCCGCCATATCGGTTACATCTGGGGTCCCGCAAGGTTCGCATGTGGGCCCTCTTCTTTTTAATTTGTTCATTAATGACATTGGAGAGGAAATAAAGTTCTGCAAATTTTTACTTTTTGCAGACGATCTCAAATTGTTCCTTAAAATCTCAAATTTGTCCGACTGTCTGATGATCCAGGAAGACTTGAACTCGCTTTTTAACTGGTCTCTCTCCAATGCCTTACTTCTTAATAAGGATAAATGTTTTGCTATGTCATTTTCTAAAGCTAAACAGCTAATGGTGTTCGATTATCATATTGGTTCACATTTTCTCTCAAAAGTCACTGAATTTAAGGATTTGGGAGTGTTGTTTGACAGCTCCCTGTCATTTATTCCCCATATCAATGGATTGTCAGGTAAAGCTCTTCGTAGTCTTGGTTTTATCACTAGGAACTCACGGGATTTTTCGGTGTCTGCTTTTAGAGTCCTGTACCTAACACTTGTCCGTAGTATTTTGTCTTATTCTTCGATGGTATGGTCTCCCCATTATTCAAGTCACATTTTCACCCTTGAAAGGGTGCAGAACAGGTTCCTTAAAACTTGTGCTTGGAGACTTAACTTGCAAAATATATCGCTGGTGGATCTGAGATCGAGGTTGAACCTCATTTCTCTGGAAGATTACAGAGTTATCTGTGACTTGAACTTTTTATATAAGCTGCTCAATTTCGATATTCATTGTCCCGATTTGCTGGGTCTAATGAACTTTAGATGCAGTGAGCGTACTCTCAGAAACTCGCCTTTGTTTTCGGTTGTGTACCATCGCACAAACTATGGTAAATTTTCTCCTATTAATAGAATTCAGATTTTGGGAAATGAATTCAACCAGTATTATGATCTGATTGATATTAAATATACAGGGTTTAAGCAGTGTCTGAGCAGGTATATTGGAAATATAAATTGAATCTGGGTATTAGCGAAAATGTTAGTTTTAATGGAATATTTTTATTTTTGTTTTATTTAAGTTGCCAGATTATCTCTAAATAATTTTATATTATAATTGTTAATTTGATTGGTTAGAATGGAATATTTTGTAATTACTTAATGTAATTATACTTTTGTAAAATGGGGACATCCCGTGAATAAATAAATAAATAAATAAATAAATAAATAAATATATGACGCTGATGAAAAATAAGTTTTAGGTTGGCGAAGGCCTTTCTAATGCAACTACCAATATGATCTGTGAATCTCAAGTTAACATCAATTAATAAATCCAAATTTCTGGCAGTTGCCGTGCACTTTAAAATTTCATTATTTAAACTTATGTTAAGAAGACCTTCGAATCGATCCCTACTTTGAATTCGCCCGAAGAGAAGCACCTGACATTTTTTTGGGTTTATTTCTAGACAATGTTTTTTAGATTCCTCAGAGAGAAGGTCAAGTTGACTCCTCAACGTTTCACTAGCTGCTTGAATATTTTCAGGTTTAAATGAAAAGTATACCTGCGTGAGTTACTTGGCGAACAGAACACAGGTTGTGAAAATTGGAGACTTTTACAGCGACCCTTTAAATATCCAAATTGGAATTCCGCAAGGTACTGTTTCAGGACCTATTCTGTTCATCCTGTACATAAACTCCTTGACAAATATGGAAGTGGGTAATGGAACAGTAATGTCCTATGCTGATGATACTGTGGTGGTGTTTACAGGGACTTCTTGGTCTTCTGTTAAGAATTCTACAATTGAAGGAATGAGAAAAATAAAGAACTGGCTTGATTCATTCCAATTAACTCTAAATGTTTCCAAAACAAAATATATTGCCTTTTCCATTACTAATGTGAGCAGACCGGAGTATCTCAGCATTAGGGTCGATAATTTTGATAGGGATATACTTGAGGTTGATTATATAAAGTACTTGGGAATCACAGTGGATAGGAACCTTAAGTGGGATCAGCATATACTTAGACTAACAAGCAACATCCGGAAATTAGTTTACAAGTTTTACATACTGAGGGACATTTTAAGCAAGAGACTTCTGATAAGTGTATACAGGGCGCTAGTTGAGTCACTGATAAGATATGGTGTGGTCGCGTGGGGTGGCCTTTACCAAAACTCTCTGAATCCATTGAACATAGTGCAAAATAAGATTCTAAAAACTATATACCGCAAAAACAAACTCTTTTCCACCAACTTACTATATTCAGTAGACAGTCTGAGTGCACGTGCAATATATTGCCTCACATCATGTTCGTATATTCATAAAACTCCAAGACTGAAACAATTTGTCAATCATAGGCATGAAACGAGAGGTAAGACGGGCAAACATTTGGGGCAGGCTGTAAACAAAACATCAAAAAAATTGCGATTGTTCCCATATCTTGGGCCAAAAATGTACAATTTATTACCACTAGAAATAAGGTCAATGCCAAGACTCAGTAGGTTTAATGACAGATATAGAGTATTTATATATGATAATTTTGATAGATTAGTTTACTATTCTAGCGATTAGCATCAATTGTTACACTATCTTTGGGTAGGTGTATGTATATATATAATAGGTATATATTTATTATTTATTAATTATTAATTGTAGTGTTATAAAGGGAAAGAGGGATATTTTCAAACAATGTTGCACACACATTGCACATACAGGTGGTCTTGTATACCTAGGTGCAATCTAAACTATATTTAAGACTTCTTAATTGTAAGCTTATAGAAATAAGTCACAGCTCTGTAACATAGGAAAATACAGTAATATATTTGATTTGATTTGTATCATCTGCATATAGATGTACTGAGGAATGCCTCAGCTTAGTTGTTAACTGTGCTGTATATAAAGTAAAGAATAAGGGTCCAAGAATGGATCCCTGTGGGACTCCATTGACAATATTTCTTTCGACTGACACACCTTCATCAAGCTTGACCGACTGTGTTCTGCCAATAAGATAGTTTTTGACTCGGTTTTTGATAAGATCATGTGCCCTCGCGCCAAAGCCCAGGTAATGCAATATAGCCAGAAACATGTTGTGATTTAATCTATCAAATGCTTCGGAGTAATCTAATAGAACCAATGCAGTGAGCTCACCCCGATCAGCCGCCTGAAAAATATCATCTGTCACTTTTAAAAGTGATGTAGCGCAGCTATGACCCTTACGAAAGCCAGACTGATACGGTGGAAGCAGCTGGTAAAGCTCAGCATACTCACGCATTTGATTTGAAAAGAATTTAATTGGTCCTAATTTGAGCTGAATTATATTAAGATTGAGATTGTGTGTGATTTAAATTTCACACGTAGATGAAGAAAAGCTTGAAATTTTGGAGAAAAAAATGAAAATTAAATTTCAAAGAAAAATTCATTATTATTCCAAACTTAATTTTCTAACAAACAATAAAGCATTTTTTGATTATTCATAATTTTCCAATACCTAATCAATTAGGCATTTTTTCATTATCTTATATTGGTTCATATTTCCAAACAAACATGTTTTGACTGAGTGGATATCTGTTTTTTTGTTTTGTTGGTGAATCACTTGATTGCTTCCTGTCACCTCAACCCCAAAAACCTTTGCTTCTTTTTTGAAAAATAATTTTTCAATGAAGCTATACATAAGTATAGATACCCCCCCTACCTTTACTGTGTTGTTGTGAACCATCTGACTCATTATTTAAAATTAAATTTGGTGATCTGCAAAAGTGAATAAATATGAATCATCTGCATAATTAAATGATATTTTTCCAGCAAACTCAAACATATTCTCGAGAGCAAACTATTGCATATTCTAGAATGTTTTCTTGATTTTCCTTTGAAATACAGATAATTGGGGGGGCACCTTATAATGAGAAATTTTTGATTCAAATGAGTTTCCATAGAAAACCTGGCAAAACAACAAAAAAACTCACTTCAAGAAGAAAACTCCTTAAATGGGGTTTCCCAAATATGAGGTCATCTCAATTCAATAAGGCCAAAATAAGAATCAATTTGTATAGTTGAAGGCTATAAGAAGGCCATCACGACAAAAGAAAACATACATTTTTTTTTTGGCCTTTACAATTTCGTACCTGTTGCTGTAGCCAAATAATTACAAGTACCAAATTAGTTTTTGCGACGTACTTTTTCAACCGAGCAATTTTCTCGGATTTTCAAATAACTGCACAGAGAGAAAATCAATTTGGATTCGACTTACCTTTTGAAATCTCTCATGAGGCGTCGACGGGCCGGAGTGGACATTTTGTGGAGGTAAACTAAAGAAAATTTGAAATACTAACTAAAAATACGATTTTAAAGCGAAGCTAAATAGGGACACAAGGAATTTAATTGGAATTTTGGCAAAAATCCTTCTGTAACGCACAATAGAACTTGTACTCGCATGACACTGACAGGCCTTTATGACGACAGGAATGAAATTTGTCTGTGTTTTGTTTTGATCCAACAACAAAAAACCCCATAAATGTCAGTCCTTTGACAAACAGCTGGGGATTTTTTCTATTTTGAAGCGGTTGGTAATAGTTGTATTACTTTCAAGAGCTTGAAACACTCGAGCTACTCGCTTCGGTGTTTAGTCGCCCCCGATTTGCAGGGAACATATGCGTGGTGCAACAAACACTTTTCGAAAGGAATAAGCGCGTGAAGCCCCGGAGCTGTTCCGGAGCTCCTCCTAGGTGTGAAAGGAATACAACTATTAGTGAATGGACATGTTCCGGCTTTAGTAGAATTTACACGTACTCGATTTGCACTAGTGCACACTTTTAGAAGAGTGCAGTTACTGCAGTTCGACAATTATGTTCGGGCTGATTCATGTCATGACCGAACAAAATGTCCAGTGTTCGATTAACCAGAGCCGAGTACGGACGAAGCAATAATAATTTTTATTCGGGTTTTGAATTAGGGAATAGGTGAGAGAATATTTTTGATTTACGGCAGTGCAATTACATTTTGCAAAACCAGTGCAGTCAGAGTAGCAATAAGCTTTTATTGCGGATGACTTTCCGAACAGCCCCCAACATGCCATAGTACCAGTGATGACGTAGGCAGCGTTTCGTTTCTCGCTTTGACTGAATCAAGTTTTTTCAGCTCTCATTTGCATCGTCCTCTTTGCCTATTATAGCTGGGTTCGGCTATTCAGCGCGGAGTTGGATTGGAGTGAACAAAGCTAATCGAGTCACCCCCTAATACGGTAAAAAGCAATACCCGAACCTTAACCCGAACGGCTGGAGTGCGAATGGAGTCACTCGGAGTGCACGGAGTGAGCATGCCGAACCCACCTAATATAATCAAAATTAAATAATATTTTTCATCTTAAATTCAAATTCTAAACTGCGACCGCTGGCTCAAACAACTGACGACTTAGTTAATGACGTCGCGTCGGCAGTGGTGCTCACTAGGAACCTTGGTTCTACAAGACAACGATTACCAAAAACCAAGATTACCAAAAACGAGGTCGAGAAGCAATCCTATAGTAGAGTGTATTAGAGCCGTTTTACACGGCAAAGTTTCTTCACGAAATTGTTGCCGAAATATTTCGTAAGTCAACTTTTTCTGTTTTACACAACAAGAAAAACTTACGAAATATTTCACGAATAAACTTAAAATGTTCTATAGTTTTTGTGGGTGTGGCCGAAAATATGCGTGAGTTCCGGCGCACACTAAGGGCGGGTTTTATAAAACTGCTTTGGCAGTTAACTTGAAGTTAACTTTTTGGATTACATGTAATTTCAGAAGTTAACTTTAAGTTAACTGTCAAAGAAATTTTATAATACCCGCCCTAAAAGGCAGTTTCTTTTTCGTGGAGCCTATGAATGCGTCATTGAATTTGAGGAATAGACTGCTCATCGGTGAAAAAAGTAATGCACCCAAAAACAGCTGGGCCAATAAAAAAAAAAAAAAAAAACTTTATTTATAGAAGGAAAAAACAAATTCAACTTTATGAAACTACAGGAGGGTACAAAGATTCAATAACAATTAGAAAACGGAAGATTTATTTGTTTTGGTTTATTAGGCAATTCAAACCACGTGACACTCAAGATGGCGTGGCGGCCACACATGGGCCGAAAAACACAAAAAAATATCTAGTTTCTGCCCGATTTAGGGCGGGTATTATAAAACTACTTTGAGAGTTAACTTAAAGTTAACTTCTGGAATTACATGTAATTCAAAAAGTTAACTTCAAGTTAACTGTTAAAGTAGTTTTATAATACCCGCCCTTAATAGTTTAGGTACCTAGACAACAAATATTTTATTAAGTAATCAAAATCAAAGTTGTAAGCAAAATAATTTAAAATACGCATAAAAACAAAAACATAATCAAAACAAACTAGCTGGGCCGCCACGCCATATTGAATTTTCCTTTTTGACAGATGGATTGAATTGCCTAATCAAAGTATGAGGTTATGATTTGATTATTGATGGCAAAACGTAACTGCGCCTGCGTATGACTAATATTTTCACGAAACTTTTGCTAGACTTTTATTTGCCGTGTCAAACAGGAAAAAGTGAAACCAAGAATAAAGTCTGTTTTTTTTTTTAAAGATAAAAGTCAAAATGACATTATGTTGGCAATACAATGTAAAATTGTCAATGCTTTCAAATTTTTTATGCAGAAAAGGCTGGTGTTGCCAACATAGTTACTAAATTTTTGACTTGGGGAATTATCTTTAAAAAAAACCAACTATAGCTAAAAACTGGAATGCGCACACATTGCCATATATGCCAAAAAAATGAAGCCATGAAAGGCAGATGTCACAAGGGGGAATGTTGTTTTTTTCTGTTGCTCGCTGACATATAACGTTTTCGAAAGTTTTGTCATATTTCCCTTCACAGTTTTCATCAATAATTGGAATACGTGTTGGAAGCAATTTTCGCCATTTAACATAATGAGTGCGACAAAAACAGGTATCCCCTCCGCAGCAGCCGCACTAGGTTTCACGTTCGTCCTCATTGATGTTAGCATTCCAGTTTTTAGTTATAGTTCATTGAAAAATTCACAGACTTTAGTAAACACGAAATATTTCGGCAATAATTTCGTGAATAATTTCGGGAAGAAACTTTGCCGTGTAAAACGGCTCTTATGCTTGATTTACTCCAACGTCAAAACGTCAAAAATTATATTCGCCATCCCAAAGATATTACACACTACGGGCCGGTCTCTCAAGACTCAAGAGCGAGTCACTTCCGGGTTAGTTTTAACTTGGTTTTAACTAACTCCAGGGCATTCAGGGTACACGTGTCCATTTGCTATGTTTACCCTGGAGTTATGCTTAACCCGCTATTGAGAAACCGGCCCTACACAGAATAGCCTCAAGGTTGTTTGAGAGAGGAGCCTTGGGTTGCCTGGTAACTTTTATGACGTCATCTGGGATGCTCAAAAATCAGTGAAATGTATACTACGTAAATGGAATGGCACCAGCATTTATCACGCATCAGGCAAATCTTTAATTGATAAAAGGGGTGGTTATCTTTGTCTTACGCATTATTAGAGAAGGCTAGGTAGATTTATTATACCCCACTATTGCTAGTAAACATGTACGCGTGCGACAGAGCAAACAACCCCTTTTATTGTTGTTCCCGCTAACATAAAGTTTGCCTCAAAAATGGACATTAAAAGCAGCGTTAGGTCCGTTCTAGTTACGTATAGTAGATAGTTCATTGCCAAAAATAAGGTTCTCCTGATAAAGTCATCTGTTCACCATAAGCAGACCAAGGTTATTTGAAAGAGGTAGGTTGCCTGCAAGGTTATTTTACCCAGACAACCTATTAACTTTAGAAACCTTGGGATAGCCTATCCTCATAAGGCCTGTGTGAAAAAAATCTCAAGCCCCCACCACGCCAATGTAGCAGTGGTGACGTAACAGCGTGTCGTTTCTCGCCTTGACGCAAGGTTTCGCGTAGGGTGTTTGCCATAGGCTATGATTCTGCTGGCTTTTGCCTAATTATTGATTACTCAGCAACGCCATGTGGGGAAATATTTGTAACAAATTTTCGTATCGCTAACCATTCCGAACACACGATTCCATCGATATTTATCGTCGTCAGCTACTTTTACACCAAGGATAATACACACTATTACTACAGGATAGCTTATCCTCATAAGACCTGTGTAAATCAAATCTCAAGCCTCCCTCACCACGTCAAAGAACCAGTGAGACGTGGTCAGTAGTTCATTAATTAACATTCTAACACAAAGCTTTTTCAGATCTCGTTTGCATCTTTCTCTTTGCCTATTATGTTTATCAAAATTTAATAAAATCATCATAAATGTATATTTTAAACTACGCCCGATGGCGCAAACAGCTGATGACGTAGATAACGACGTTGTCAATGGTGCTACACAATATGGCCGCGATTCCCAAAAACGAGGCCGATAAGCAATTTGGTGTAGTAGTGTGTATTATCCTTGTTTTTGCACCCGTTTATTTGGATTGACACGGGCTGGGGCGCAAAATTTGACAGATGTCACGTGGTTTGACACGTGAAAAAAGGAGTGATCACGTGACTGACGTCCGTCAAATTTGCTCGCTTTCTGCTCGCAAATGCAATCATGGAACCCAGACACGGTGCACTCCCTGTGATGTCACCTAGTCACCTTACTCCGCGATCGTTCTTCTTGCTCCGTCGAGCGTCAACACAAACGCAGCTACAAGAAGTGTACCATGTGATGCCAAATAAGATGGTGCAAAATTACCAAGGAGTGACGATAAACGTTACTTATCAAGTCAGTTCAGAGCTGCTTTGGTTTTGCTCAATCGATAATCGTGATTTTTTTTTTAGTCCGGTAACTTAGAATATAGAGTACACTTGGGCCAAACATAGAACTGGTACGGGTAATATATATTTTTTAAATTTGCCTAGTGTGAGTCAGGCTTAACAACAAAAAGTCTCTTCTGAGAAACTTCAAAACTGAACAAAAACAAATGCAACATGTTTTTATGTTCTGGTTGATTTAAATATGACACTGACTTGACTCTGTTTGTCATTGTTGAGGTGATAAAAAAGGTCGATTTACACAAAACACTATAGGAAAATGCGTACCAGTTTTATGATTGGCCAAGTGTACTCGAGTATCTGCACCAGTTCACACTTTGAAAGTGCAGTTCAACTGTTCGGGTTTATGATCATGCATGAGCGAGCAAGAGTTTCTTTGTTTGATTCTCTGAACCGAGTGCGGACGTGCGGACCGAAACTCCGATTTGAGAGCCAAGACGAACGTGTAATGTAAATATACAAATCTATCTGGGGTGCCTCAACATAATGCAAATCTCCATAAAGCCTAGTTCTCATGGAGAGAAAAATCGGGTTGCGGACGCGGAATTTTTAAAATTTGTCCTGCAGCGGGGAAATGTCAACTTTTCACGATATCGAAGAAAAGTTGAACGATTTTTAACTTTTGCGCGAGTTTTTATCCTCTGACACTTTTTACTGTCACCTGTGAGATGTATTTTACGACATTTGATAAAAATCACTAAAATATAATGTGAAATGTGAAATACCCCAAATATAACTAAAAATCCGCTTCCGGAATCTCGCTTCATGTGAACCGGCTGAAATTATTACTTGAACGGAAAGCGATATTCCGCACCCGCATCGCGATTTTCCGCTCTTTATGAGAACTAGGCTTACGGCTCCACAGATGCGTCAAGTTATCAGACAACCTACCTCTCCCAAGCAACCTTGAGCTTTACCTACGGCAATAACAGGGATTGTCATATTTGACAAAAAATCAGTTGTAGAGAAAATACTGATTTACCCATAATAGCGAAAAAAGACAAGACCTCTCAGTCGGGTGCCGACTTTCAATGCATTACCAGACAACCTATTAGTTTTACGAACCTTGGGTATAGCTCTTTTAAACAACCTTGGTGGGGAGCTTCAAATTTGAACTACACAGGCCTTATGAGGATAGGCTATCCTGTAGTAGTATTAGTGTGTATTATCCTTGGTTTAGAACTAGATTGCCGTAGACGGGCACTTTCCAAAATTCACCGGTGCGTTACCGGTAATACTGTATTCCTTTTATGCATCGAGTTATACCGAACGTGTCGCTCTAGAGCTTCTCGGAGTCACTCCAGAACACACAATTCGAATATTATCATTATTCTTTAATATAACCTAAAAAGGCTTCTTGCACCCACTGCTAAATTGGTGCATTAGGCGAAAGGGAGGTGCATTATGAGCGACTCGAGTGCTTAACGTATTTTTAAAAAGAACGCTCAGAATACAGCATAATAGTTTACTCACCGAACCTTGTATCGACTGACGATACTATCACATCGTAGGTTCGGAATCCGAAAGAAGTTTCACAAACGGTATAACTCGGAACTCAAACCACGAATTTAATTTTACTCTTAAGAATCGGTAGAGAAAACTAGAGCTGCTTTGGTTTTCCGATAATTGTCAGGAATTAAGTGAATAAACCTGTTCCGGTTTAAATAGGTTTGAAATTAATGGAGTACTCGAGTATCTACACTTATTCGCACTTAGGAAGAGTGCAGTTCAACGGGTTTATTCAGGTCAAGAGCGAGCAAAAGTTTCTGTGTTCGATCACCCTGAACCGATTGGGGAGTAGTGCGGACTGTAACTCCGATTTGAGAGTAAAGACGAACGTGTAATGTGAACACACAAAATTGCACCGAATAGAAAACGGTCTGGCCGGTGACGTCACAGATCTCTGCGGAAGTGAGATCCGAGAGTGATTTTGCCGAACGTACTTTGTTTTGGTCAAACTCAAGAGCCGTTTTCTTGTGTCCACTTTTTTCAAAACAGGTTTGAAACGGGCAATGGTAACACCATTGCCGTTTCAAAAAATGTTTCGAACCAATGTCAAAAAAGTGGCCGCGAGAAAACGGCTTATGATCCCGATCGCTCCGTTTTGAGCCGAACATGTGGATCCGTTTTGGATCGCTTTATGATCAATAGGGTGCACCTTTGAGGCAAAAGTTGAAAGCGCTATTTGATTGATCCTAGATATGGCGCGTTTTTTTACCGGGGGTTAAACTGAACCTTGAGATCTACCGATGAGCAGTCTGTGTTCACTGTTCAACTATAGCTGGGTTCGGCTATTCAGCGCGGAGTTGGAGTGAATAGAGCTAATGGAGTCACCCCTAATACGGTAAAAAGCAATACCCGAACCTTAACCCGAACGGCTGGAGTGCGAATGGAGTCACTCAGAGTGCACGGAGTGAGCAAGCCGAACCCACCTTATCTGTCTTGCTCCCAAGGATAATACACACTACTACATAATAGGATCACTTATCGGCCTCGTTTTTGGGTAAGAGTAAATTTTATTGGTTGAAATTAGTTTTCTGCTATTTTTTTCTGCAGAAACAGACCTATTGCATAGCACCATTGACGACGTCAACTACGTTGTCAGTTGTTTGCGCCAGCGGTCTTAGTTCTGAATATACATTTTATGACGAAAAATATTTAATTTTGATTAACATAATAGGTAAAAAGGAACATGCAAACGAGATCTAAAAAAGCGTCATTTTAGAATGTCAATAGACCTATCTATTTTTACCTGTATGCGCGCGCAACACGAGGCAATGCATTTTTATTGGCCAACTAGTACAGGTGTGAAGTAATCCTTTTGCACGCTAGGCATCTCCTTGTCCTTGTTCATTGCCCGTGGTCTTACAAGGATAAAATTATGCTTGATATTCAACTTGACGTAGCTTGACAAGTGATCGATTTTCAATTGTTTGTGTTTTTGATTGACAAATACGTTGCATGTCACGCGGTTTTCCTCCTTCCTTTTTTATCCCGTGCAAATAATAAGAACGGATTGCTATACGTAAGTCTAACATCATTTGGTACGTTTTGCCTCGTCTTGCGCAATAAGCGTTCTACGTCTTTTTCTATCTAATAAAGTTTCCGTATTATTACCTCTTTGTCTGGTAATATCGATAGGTCTATTGGGGTGCAAAAACCCGAAGCCAAGGCGAGAAATGAGACGCTGCAACGTCATCATTGGTTCTTTGGAGTGGTGGGGAACATGAAATTTAAACTACACAGGCCTTATGAGGATAGGCTAATTCTGTAGTAGTAGTGTGCAGGGTTGCCAGATCTATGAAATGAAAAAGCGGGACTGTTCTTATCTTATCCAGAGTCCCAAAGGCATAAGAGGGGGGGAAGGGCAAGTGCCCAATGTGTCCCCTTCCTATGGACCCCCTTGAGCAAAAGCGCAACAAATTTTTTGGAGTTTCAATAGTGATACATATTTGTAATTTCTTCTAATATAATAATACTATATTGTTTAACGAGTGACGAAAACAGCATCAAAAGAGGCGAAGCCGAGTTTGGTAATGTTTTCAAGTTCCAAAAAATGATTTTTGACGTGTGAAACATTATACTTTTTCTATGACCATGTTATAATATGGTTTTTGCCACATGGTCTGCCAGTGACGTCACCATGTCAGCAGCTAATAGTGGTGACGTCACCCGCAGACCTTGATGAATTGCTTGCGATTCAGGCTCGTTATTTGACTTTTCCGTCGATTTTAAATGTAGAAATACCTAGTTATTTATGTAACAAGTTGTAAAATGAGCGTTTTTTGCACTAAATGTCAAGTTTGGAGTTTGGGTGGAAAAAGCGGGACCTGAAATTAATAAAAAAAAAGACGGGACCGATTAACAAAATGCGGGACTGTCCCTCCTAAGGTGGGACGTCTGGCAACCCTGGTAGTGTGTATTATCCTTGCGTAGAGGGTGGTCCAATTTGGACACTTTGAATAGGAAACGTCAATTTCTGAGCGAGATTCAAAAAAATGAACTCACCACTCTGAGGCTTATATTTCATGAAATCCTCATTGGTGCAAACCGCATTTTGATATCTTCAACCATTTTGCTGCTAGAGAACAGTTTTCGAGAAAAAAAAAAAAAAACATGTGTTTTTGTCATAAGGAACAATGTGTAGAAAGACTTTTATATCTGCAAGAAGAATGAGAAAGGTGTCTTTCTAACACATTGTTTCTTATGACGAAAACAGAAATATGTATTTTTTTCCTTGAAGACTATTTGAGATATCCAACAACCAAACAAGCTATTAATATATAGGGTGCCCTATTGAAAAAATAATACTTTGGTCAATATCTTGAAATAAGTACGTTATTGGATTCTGCTTGAAAAAGTACCTCTAGAAAGTTTATACAGAAATCAACTATTTCCATAAATGAAAAAGTCCTGAAACTTTCTCAGTACAATATTACTTAAAATCGAGATACGCCCTCTAGCGGCAAACACGGTTGAAGATATCAAAATGGGGTTCGCACCAATCAAGATTTCATGAAATTTGAGCCGCAGAGTGAGGTATCTCGCTCAGAAATTGACGTTTCCTATCAAAAGTGTCCAAATTGGACTAACCTGTACAACCCTGATTCATAGTTACAATCACAGTAATCAATCACAAATACAATTAAAATAGTAAAACAAAATCCTTATACTTTTTAAAAACCAATTTATTACGGGTTGAATCCTAAACTTAATTCCATAAATATATTCCCCTATATACACAGAGATGGTTTTGCACTGATTCACTTGTCAATTTCGCTTTTTTTACTTTTAATTCGTCATGCCACAACAACAAAAAAATCATAAATGAATCAATTATAGGACAGAGGAGGATCATTCCTTTAATATAACACGAGGACAAATCACAGATTCCTGCTACATTGCGAGAATCAAAAAAGCAAAATTAACTTAAATCAAAAAATATTCACAAAATGGAAAGCTTGGTTTCTGACAAAAAGAAAAAGCAACATAAATTTAACATTAACAAATAAAAATGTAATCACAAGTAATTTAATTCCGAAAACTACAATGAGGTAGTTTGGTTGATCATTGCGACGATTAATTAATTTTTTCCGATTTTTATTCTTATGGATAGGAAGGTTTTTTTTTAAAACATAATACAAAATCACTGCACTGTTCTAGAAACTTTGTACAAAAAATCAAACGAGTTTTAACTTAAACGTTATACGATCATCGAAGCCCATCAATATCAATAGTTAGTTTTTGCTTGCTTTAAATTAAAAGTTGAACTTAAAATGTACTTATTCGAATAACTAAATTTTTTTTAGTACAAATATTGATCGGCCTATTATTTCTGATTGAACACATTTTTTTGAAAACAGTCATTAGTACCTTAAATCTTACGGCTTTCAGCTTTGTTTGACACGTTTCCTGGGTGGTCCTATAGGTGGGATTTGTTGGGTGGCTAACGCACGGAATGCTTCCGCTATGAGATGAGGGTGAGTTACGATCATGGATTTAAATCCCTGGGTATCCATAACATCTGTGGCATGGCTATATTATATGATTGAATGTTAGTAATGAATTGATTAATAATAGAGATTTTTACGTACGTATTGATAAAATCAATTGCTTGAGCCTTAAGCTGATCGGCACTATGTAAATCAGCTAAGATTAAAATTTCTGCAGCGTTTTCTATAGATAAATTTGTACATAACGCTTCTTCGCACATTACTTTTAACCTATCCAGCGCATACTGAAATAAACAATATAAGTAAGTGAAAAATCTTGTTGCTGCATTTTTGGATAAAGAAAAATATTACAAGATGAAATTTCATTAATTATTGTGAATTGTAGAAATTGGAGGACTTTGCATGTTTTGAATAATGTAATATTTGAATGGATTCAATTATTTGTACCTACAAACTTTGAATTCAGAGCTAGGATTTACCAGGACCAGTGTCTTTTTTTCTTAGATCTATAGATGCTCATCTTTCTTGAACATGTTTCATGTATTTCTTATTTTTTTCTTGAATCAATGACGAATATATACCTTGTCAGATTTTGCCACATGTCCACTTTCTTACCCCTTATAGAAACATCCTCACTTCTTCTCTATAGAAAGTGGTTTCTCGTTAGTTTTCTTTTTCTCTCGTATTATAACTCTATCTTTTTTCTTAGCAAAGTTTAATGAACATAATTTTTCAATCAAGAATTGCCCGCAAAGAATTCACCATTTCTTCCACTGTTTTGGAACTTTTTAGGTTCCAAATGCCCATCAGTAAAACACTGATTAATAATTACAAATTATCCAGCTTATGAAGGTATTTATCTCTTGTTGGCCAATACTTCCTAAGTTGTGTTTTTTAAAATGAAAATTCAATTTTTCTAAAAACAACTAACTGTTCCTATTAAATGCATTGTAATGACTATTCAACATTATTGAAATGGTATTCCAATACCAAGGGAAGAGAGTGAATAAAAAATAACAAGGGCAAACCCATCCAAGGTTTAATATCTTAATACAAGCTAACTCGCATAAAATTTAGTAAGTGATGTAGGTCATATTATAATCTTGACTTGAAACCATAGAATACAATAGTTTCGATGGACAATTTGCTTTTCTATATTGTAATATTTTCATTTATTCAACTCAATTATTGAACTATTCGAAATTATTCTTACTTTGTCAGCAGCCGCTAAGAGATCATCCGCCATTTTTTCTAAATTCGAGGCCTTACCAGTATAAATAAACCTTAACATTTCACGTAACACTTCGTGATCTACATCCGTTATATCTACCCTATTGTGTTTCCGTTCTTCCATTTCATGTTCGAACATGGCTTGAAAAACTGGACTACGTGCTACAATTAAAAAACAAATCAAATTCAATTCCAAAATAATTTCAAATCCTTACTTACCGGCCAAAATGGCTTTGTGTGCTTGAAACTCTCTGCCCGCTACAGATAACGTAACGTCGCTAAACTTTTGATTTTCAAATAACAGTCCCAAATCGTCAGATAGTCGACATTCTGGCACTTTAAATTGTATCGTATTTGATTGACCAGAAATGTTTACACTATCAGCTACAACGCTAACCTGGAAACAATGGCAATATTGAAATTTGAGAAACTATTTTACTTCCAAAACATGAACCATTCTTACCTCACAAAATATAGTAAGTTTATCATCAGGCAACAGTCCATTGGCTTCGTCCAATAAAAAATCGCGCCTAATAAACTTTTTGAAACCCCAATCTTTGCCCTGGACAAACCTGTAGGCTCGTTGGCTTTCCATTGCTTTTGTCTCTTCTCGTTTGGCGTTCAATATACTAAATTTAAATTTCGCTCTCACTTCGCTTTTATTGCATGAAACTAACAGTAAATACAAGGATAAATAGTCTTTGCTTTCTTCATCTAAGCCTTTAGGATTGACTCTCAGACACCTAAAATTAACAATAAATGGGTTATTGGTAAATATTCCACAAAAAAATTTAACCATTTTAGTTTGTCATTGGCACCCGCAGAGAATGTGCTGGACTTTAGAACTTCCCCCATTTCTTCTCGACAGAAGCTGAAATTGTTGATGGTCCACATGTAGCTAAATTTGACAACTTTTACCTGTGGAAATTGAAAATAAAAATATCCAATTGGTGGTGATTTTGAACGGGATGATATTGTTTACTGACTTGCGTATAACACCAATTTTCGGCTACTGGGGTATTGACTTCTTGTGGCGGCGGGCTCGGAACACGACTCACCGCCATAGTACTTGTGGGGTGCAGGATGATAGTAATCCGGGCGGGCTGCCCGGCACAGGAAGGTTTAATTGGCAACTATAATCCAAGAAATTTCGAATATAAACTAAATTATTGGCACGAACTTATTACAAACACTGACTATTCATTGTTGATGTATGAAAAGCTGTTGACAAAGTTGTGAATCATAAAGCAATAAAACACTAAAAATAGTTTGTAATTAAGATTAGAAAAAACTATTATGTATGTATGTAGGGCTATTAAAAAGTTTATTTCAATTATAATACTGGAGCTTTGCCAATTATAACCATTTTAAAAGAGACAAAGTTTTTTAAAATACGTTAGAGTACTTAATTACACTTTTTATATCACCATTACCAAATCAGTAAAGACTTAGGTATATATGAATTATTTAGGGTTTAATGTTGTCAGTTAAAAAACTAGTACATAGCAGATCTGTATGGTAGCAAGTTCCTTGCGATTTTCATTTTCATGGAAAAATTGCAAAATAGAGAGCTTGGGTTCAGAAAAGATCCCTAACATTATAATCGACAAGTTCAAGGATCAAGCACACTTTATAGTTCAGTCATCCAAGGTTCAAAAATGGCATTTCCAGGAAAAAAAAAATGAAGAATTTTTTTTTCTTACTAGTTCTTTATGTTTTATGGGGTGCTGAATCCAAATCTGAGGGCAAGGAAAATTGCATAAAAACCTTGAATTTTCGGCACTTTCTTTAGGTTCCTATTTTAACTAACTTGAAAACTAAGCGTTTTTCAATTATAACTATGATATACCAAATTAAAGACTGAAGTAGACAAAATTTAACAGATCAAACGAACTTACCTATAGTGAAGTTCGATCTGAATTATATGAAGCCTCGTCGAAGTAATTAAGAATAATGTAGTACCTTCCACTTCACGTCAAATCACACGCTTTTTAAAGATATCGATTTTTAAAATCCCTGCTTACCTGTCCCGGTGCTTGACCAGTCACCAGTGACAATTTCATTTCATTTTTTTTAAAGCAAACCCGATATTTATAATTGTATGCCTTGGGTTATAATAATTAATTATGGGTAGGGAGGGACTTAATTACTTCGACGAGGCTTCATATAATTCAGATCGAACTTCACTATAGGTAAGTTCGTTTGATCTGTTAATTATATTACGCCTCGTCTCGTAATTAAGAATAATGTAGATGTTTAAAGAAAATTGCAACAATTATAAATGAGGTCTATTTTCCAAACTATTGAACATTACATAAAACATTAACAAGAAAAAGTTAATACAATATTCAAATTATACAACTCCTAGTAACTATCAAGAACCCAAAACAGCTTCGGCAAAACTGGACTTTCTTATCAAAGGGCGTTGATAAAAATTAGCAAAAGTCTTTGATTTCTCAGTCCAACCTGCTGCCAGCCTGATTACATCCATACTTACTCCCTTACGAGCCGCGGCAGAAGTGGCCGCATGTCGTGTACTATGGGCAGTAAATATGGATGTATCGAGGCCACTATTTTTGAGAACTTCTCTTATCCATCTACTGATCGAGTTGGGTTTTGCATTTCTGAACGGCCTTTTAAAAGTAATAAACAATGAATTACAATGGGGGTCTCTTAACTTTCGAGTTTCCTTTAAATATTGAATTAAGCACTTAGCTACACATACTGATGGATCCGTCTTGAAAAAGGGTAAAACTAGAGTTGGCTGTTTTCTATTTAAACCAGACGTTTTGAGTCGCTTAGGAATTTTTATACTGATGCCATCATTCGCTATTACTATATTCCCAATTTCAATACTAGCCAAAGTCTGTACCCTTTGTCCAGTACTAAGCGCTAACAGCGCTGCTAATTTGTAAGTCAAATTCTGCAAGGAAATATTTTTAGGAAACGTTTTAATATAGTTAAGGACAATAGAAGGGTCCCAAGTCGTGCTATATTTGGGCTCGTTGGGTCGCAAATTGAAAACACCCTTAAAGAATCTTTTTAGCCTGAAATCGTTCGCAAAATCCAACCCTGCTATTTGAGCTATCGCACATCTATATGAATTTAAAGTGCCGTAAGAAGCACCTTTATTATAATACAATGTAAGAAATTTTAGAACATCCGGTACAGAAACTGAAAATATGTTCTTATTTTCTCGCTTACAAAACTCCCACCAAAATTTTAAACCGGAATTGTATTGTCTAATAGTACCACTGGTAATGGAAGCCATACAAATATCCAGCGATGCATCAGGTACCCCGCCTATCTGCAACGCTCGCCGGATAAGACTCCTGCTACCAGCGTAATCCTCTCCCATAATGGATGAGGAGTCCTATCAAAAGAAAGAAGTAAATCTTCACTCGGGGTAAAATAAATTAATCTACTAACAAGCAACGAGCTAAAAACTGGAAACCATGGCTGAGAGGTCCAGTAGGGAACGACAAAAATGCCCTCGGCTTTATCCTCTATGATCTTATGCAAACACTGCAATATGATCGAAAAGGGCGGAAATGCATAAAAATAGAAAGTCGACCAGTTAATCGTAAATGCATCTACCGCATAGCTATCTGGGTCTCTCTGCCAAGAAATGAAGCGTTTACATTTTTTATTTACTCTCGAGGCAAATAAGTCAATTTCGGGGCTGTTAAATTGAAGCGTTACTTCTCGAAAGGCCTTATTATTTAACTCCCATTCGGTTTCAATTTCTAACTGCCTAGATTCCTCGTCTGCCTCTACATTATCTTGAGATTTAATATACGAGGCGTATACCAAAATTTTTCTTTTTTCGCACCATTGCCAAAATTTTCTCGCCAGGGAGTTAAGCTTAGGATATCGAACGGATCCCATTCGATTGATACAGGCGATCGCTGTAGTGTTATCTATCCGGCATAGGATATTGCTGTGGGAAAGATTACTGGCAAAGCATCTTATAGCGAAGAAGGCAGCGAGGAGTTCGAGATAGTTTATGTGCTCCCGCAATTCGTCCCTGTTCCAGAAACCGTGAGCCCTCTTTTCCTCACAATAACTTCCCCATCCAGATGTCGATGCGTCGGAGAATATGCTTAATTTAAAGTCTTTCGAGGGTAAATTATTAAAGGATTTCATAGAGTTTTTAATCCACCAAAGAAAGTCTTCCGATACTTCAGAGGGAATATCCATGAAAGAATCGAAGTCTCCTCGCGATGTTTTGAGAGCGATTGCTTTAACTCTTTCAAAATTTTTTGTGTATAACCATCCATACTTTACTGCTGGGCAAGCCGACGTCAAAACACCAATAAATTGAGCAAATTCTCTGATTCTGCATTTTTCACATTTAAAAAATTTCGTAGCAAGTTTGATGATTTTTTGTTTTTTAAGTTCGGGTAAGCAAATTTTCATATTTATCGAGTTATAAGTAAACCCCAAAAAGGTGCAAGTCTGCTGAGGACTAGGGGAACTCTTAGAAAAGTTTATAATAAATCCCAAATTTTCTAATAGTCTAACTGTTTCCTGAACGTTAACTTCACAATCTGAAAATGTGTTACCCAGTAATAAAAAATCATCGAGATATAATACAGAGATTAATCCTTTTTTCCCTAAAAAACTTAGGATAGGTTTCATCAGTTTGGTAAAAATTAGGGGAGCACAATTCAACCCGAAGGGCATACAGGTAAATTCATACAGTGAATTGTTAAACTGAAAACGTAAATATTTCCTATGCGTCTTATTAACAGACAACAGAAAATAAGCATCCTTGAGATCTAATGTCGCCATAAAACAATTTTTGTATATCAACTTGATAACAGTCTTATGGTCTTCTAATTTGAAATGGCCAGTATTTATATAATTATTGAGATATTTGAGATTTAATATGAATCTTTGCGAACCGTCTGGCTTAGGAGTAAGAAATATTTTAGAAACGAATTGTCCTTTACAAGGTTCGACTTTATTTATGGCGCCCTTCTGTAAAAGTTCATTAATTGACTCTCGGATCTGCTCTTGTTCACGTAAAGACCATTTAGGTCCACGTGGAGCACTAACCTGCAATGGAGGTTGAGCGAAGGGAATTTTGATACCTCGAATCCAAGATAAAACATGTTTGTCTTTAGTCAAATGCGACCAGGCTGGATAAAAATGCCTCAGCCTGCCAGCGAGTTTACTAACCTTCGACTTCACTGTCGGTATTTGCTGCTCCTCTGTCCCTGTCTCTCTGACTTGCGAAACCATTTGTCCCGCGTCTTGTGATCTCGTCGAGGTTGCTGTTGATGATATTGTTGGCGTTCGCCGCGTCGCAACCCTTGGAATTTTTCGAGACGAACTTTTGAAGTTTAAAGAACGCTTAGGATAGGAGCTAGAAGATGCTCTGTTGGATGACACTTTTTCATCCTTTAAATCTTTACTAGATTGAGCGAGGTTTTTGTGAGATTTCACCCTATCTTCTAGGTCCTTCCCGAATAGCCATTCATCGTTTGGCGTATTGAACAAAGTCTCCTTGAGACTTTTATTGAGGTTTAGGGCTACCAGCTCCCTCCTCGAATGCGTATCTTGATGAAATAAGTCGGTTAACATCCGACCAGATTCACCCAGTTGCTGAATAACATCTCGGTCCCCCTTCTTTTTTAAAAGGGTAGTAACTGCCGAGCCGATAGACGATATGGCTGCGCTCAATTGCGCCTGAATATCAGCCAACCTCTTGTCTCTTTTTACCACCGACTCAGAACAGGCACTGATCACCAAAGGATTCAGTTTAGGAGGAGCTAAAGAGATGCAGTTCTCCGGATGAGGAAATTTCCTCATTAACTCTTGCCTTTCTTCGCTATCGAGTCCGTTATTTAAAATTCCCGACCATATCTCTGAAAGGTCTTTTTGAATTGGAGGACCGAATTTAGAGGACTGAATAACATTCTTTCCAAGAAGAGATATTACCTCCTGATCTAGACTGACGTCACTGTCAGATTCAGAACTATGGTCTGTAAGGATAAATGATGCCTCGCCACTGAGTACATCTTCCTCTAGAATTTTAGAGGTATTGGCGTCGTCTTCGCGCCTATAATTCGAGCTCACAGAGGGAGCGACATAATCTCCCTCTAGATGTTCTCGATCACGTCGCAAA